AATAATGTTTTTGTATTTGAGTTCTTATATTATTCTTGTTTGCCCTTTGTTGCCCTCTTGTGTCAGTCTCCTTTCCCCCTAGCTCCCTTCTAGATTCCTCTGTCCACAACTGCTTCCAATCTACTGATTAGTCTAGTCTGTCTCCCATTTATACACCACCTGCACAGTCACAGATTGCTGGTTCCTAGTCGCTATTTATATACCCTTTATGTAAGCTTTTTGGCATCTCAGTATTCTTAGGATTTTGTTGATTTATGTTTGTAAAGTTTTGCTTCTTTTACCCTTTTTTGGATATTAAATCTGCAAGAAACCACTTCAGCATCAGTCTCTGCATTTGGATCCTCCTCAAACCCCACTCAACCTGACATGCAGTGTAGTCCTATTTCTCTTACTATGTCGAACTGTATGTACTCTCTTTTGTCCTCTGACATGGGAACTGGTTTGGAGTTCCTCTGCCTGGCTCTGCCTTCCAGGAAGGGACCACCTGTGGAGCTAGTTAACAGTTACCTTTCATATCTCTGCTTCTTTTTTAATGTCTGCTTCTATCCCCTTGAACCCCAGTCATCCTCAGCAGATGGCTGCTCACACTGAGCCTGTTAAAAGGGAGCTTTCCTCTCCACTGTCACTACATGCATTCTTAGTGTGAGGAATTGCTTTCGAGTCAATGAGGTGATGCAATCAGCACATTTACCTTAGATAGAATATTTACAACCAATCTGACTGTATGATCAGGTTGAATTGTCTTTGTGAAGTGCATTGAGATAGCATATTGTAAACTGGTGCTATTTAAACAAACTGAATTAAAAATAAGAACCTGTAATATTTATACAAAGTTAGGCGTTTAAGGAATTCAATTTCATTTGGAAGCTCAGACTATGTATTCCACAAAGAACTCCAGTTAGTCAGCTATTTAAAAATATTCTTCTTAAAATAAGTGGAAAAGAGAATAAATAGGAATCGAAACACAGAATCGTGATCAGAACCAGAATTGTTCAAATTCAAATGATAGCCAACGCTAAGCATAAACCAGTTTTTTAATACATAAAAAAATAGATGCAGTTTTTAGAATATTTTTCAATAATTTATCTAAACATACCTGCCTGTTATGTGGTAGAGCTAATATTTTTTCCAGGCATTTTATTTAATGACAGTTTTTTTTTTTTTGTCAAGATAAGTATTAATCATCTTTATTAAATACAGTATGTAACAAAGATTTGGAAATGAAATAGGAGCCTACAGACAGAGTGGATAGAAAACTCTGTCAGTGTGCATTTGGATTGACCATGATCTATAACCAATTTTTATCATCTTGATATAGCTGGAACCAGTGATATTTCCATATTTAGAAACATGTGTNGAGCCGCAGTGGGCGGCCCCTTCCGAGCCTGTTCCTGAGCCGCAGTGGGCGGCCCCTTCCGAACCTGTTCCTGAGCCGCAGTGGGCGGTCCCTTCCGAGTCTGTTCCTGAGCCGCAGTGGGCGGTCCCTTCTGAGTCTGTTCCTTCCAAGTCTGTTCCTGAGCCGCAGTGGGCGGTCCCTTCCGAGTCTGTTCCTTCCGAGTCTGTTCCTGAGCCGCAGTGGGCAGTCCCTTCCGAGTCTGTTCCTGAGCCGCAGTGGGCGGCCCCCTCTGAGCCTGTTCCTGAGCCGCAGTGGGCGTCCTCCTCGGAGCTTTCTCCTGAAACGGGGGCGGCGTCCTCCTCGGAGCTTCCTGCTGAAACGGAGGCGGCGTCCTCCTCGGAGTTTCCTGCTGAAACGGAGGTGGCGTCCTTCTCGGAGCTTCCTGCTGAAACGGAGGCGACGTCCTCCTCCAAGGTTCCTACAGCAACAGAGACGTCGTCCTCCTCCGAGGTTCCTGCAGCAATGGAGACGTCGTCCTCCTCCGAGATTCCTGCAGCAACGGAGACGTTGTCCTCCTCCGAGGTTCCTGCAGCAACGGAGACGTCATCCTCCAGAGGCCCTCCTTTGTCACTGGCCTCCTCCTGAGGCCCTCCTTCGTTGCCTGACCCACGGCCGGCCACCAGAGGCCTCACCTCCGGCCCCGCGGCCGGCCTCCAGAGCGTCAGCCTCGCCTCCGGCCCCGCGGCCCGCCTCCAGAGCGTCTGCCTCGTCTCCAGCCCCGTGGCCCGCCTCCAGAGCGTCTGCCTCGCCTCCGGCCCCGCGGCCAGCCTCCAGAGACTCTTCCTTGTCTGCCTCCAGAGACTTTTTGTTGCCCTCGCCCACCCTGGGTGGGTTGTTTTTTGGACTGTATTTTGTTTTCGTGCCCTCCTTCCTGGTTCCCCCTCCACCCACCCTGGCTGGGTTGTTTTTGTTTTTGGACATTTTAGGGTGTCTGGGATCCGCCCTTTAGTGGGGAGTACTGTCACAGTCTTGGTTTTCCATTTGTTGTCCTCTGCTGCCCTCTTGTGTCCTTTTTCCCCAGCTCTGTTTTCTGCTCTGCCCTCACCTGTTTTCGATCCCCTCGTTAGCCCTCTCTTTGTCTCTGTCCCCTTTAAAAGCCTCCCTCTTCAGTTCCTGTTTGCTGGATCCTCGTCTAACGTGTGTCTGCTTACCTTGTCTCTCCCTGGCTCCTAGAGATTGGTTTTCCCCTGATGTCTCCTTGGTTCTGGTTTGTTGTTATTTCTGTTGGATTTTTTGATTCCTGCCTCAGTTCCTGTGAACCTCAATAAACCCACCAAAATTCACCTCTGCCTACTTGCCTCTGCATTTGGGTCCTCAAACCAACACCAAATCCTGACAGTTTATTTAATAAGGACAGTTTTTTTTTGTCAAGATAAGTATTAATCATCTTTATTAAGTACAGTATGTAAAAAAGATTTGGAAATGAAATAGGACCCTACAGACAGAGTGGATAATTCTTAATAGAAAACTCTGTCAGTGTGTATTTGGATTGACCTTGAGCTAAAACCAATTTTTATCATCTTGATATAGCTGGAACCAGTGATATTTCCATATTTAGAAACATGTGTTTCACATAATGACGTGGCAGGGTGTGGTCCTGGAGATGTATAAAAAGCTTATTTTCCTTTTCTGGTTCTGGGCTGACTCATACAAACAAATAAAGCCGGTAATGTACCAAACAGGAGACGCATAGTGTAGAGCAGATGTAGATTTGAACAATCAGAGGCCTCCTGTCTGCGTCACCGTCTGAGGTCACCTACAATTTGGGAGAGGTGCAGCAGAGTGTCTGCGAAGGGCTCTCAGCATTCACAACAAGACATATGCAGACAACTGTTGGGATCTGGAGGTCTGTCCACCTTTCTCCAGCAGAGGGCGTTCTAGGTCTCCTGGAGCTGAAGCTGACCACCACACCTGCGGCTCATGAGCTCATCAGGCATTTAAGGAGAGGCAGAGCAACACTCCGACGCCAGAGTGTTTTGCCAGTTATGGTTAGCAAGCCTGAGCCAACCTGCCTGTCTGAATCTCTGACTCCCCTGAAGCCTGAATCTGAACCTAATCTGCTTTTTGTCCTCTCTGCTTCTCAGGAAGATCCTGCCTGGAAACTTGAAACCTAGAAGAGTTCTCAAGCGTGAAACCAAGCAGTCTGTTCTCAGAAGAATCCTGGAAATCAGAATCAGTCTGATACCTGCCTGCCCGCTCTCAGAAAGAGCTGAGAGAGAAGCTCTGAACCTGCTCTGTAAGATTAACAACTCAGCCCTGCCTCTGCCTAGCCCTCTGCCTGCCTTCAGCCTCTGGACCCTCCCGGTTCCCCCCTTCTACCGCTCTGCTCATTCTCTGATCAGGTATAGACCTGCAAACCCACCGTCTGCAAGTTCACTGGAAGACTGCAAACCAATCTGTCCCTCTCTGCAGTGAAACAAGCCGTGACCAGACCCGGACCCGATTAAACCCCAGAATCATTGTGCATTTATTGTGAACTGTACAAATAAACATTGTGAACTTTTTCCCAGCCTCTGAGTGTTCTGCATGTGGGTTAGACCCCTGAAGACAAACATGACAACAACCTAGTTTCGAAGTATAAATCAGCCTTAAGATTGGAGAATGGTTTATAGTGGCAGGTTTAACAGTTTTAATCTGCCATCATGTTTTATAGTAACTTAAAGTCATATGGAAGTCATATTTATTTTAAATCATTCTGGCTTAAAGTTCCAAAATTTTTATTGAAAAAAAAATCCTGTCTTAAAATCAGTTTTTTTTTTCTTTTTTGTTATCTTATGCAGGCCAGTTAGTTATATGTCAGGTTGTACATCTAAATTCAGCCAATCATATATCAACGGTCATCTGTCAATCCAATTTTTTCAGTCTTAGAATCTTGATTCGTATGTCGCAGCTAATATACGCAACAGTTGAAATACGAATCAATCTACTTTACCATTTAGTTCCGTCCCAGTGTTCACGGGGATGGACTCCTGTGTCTTCGGCAGGCGTAGAGCTAACAGAACTGGCAGCATAGCGAGGTAGGGGCTCACACATGTACGGCTGTAAACCTTCTAGACCAAACAAAGCCTCTGCCACCCTGGCGTCCTCTTCCATAACGACTTCCCCGATTTCCTCCTCTAAATAAAAAATGTATGGCGGAGGAGACCTCTGACACAGATCTCTCCTCCTCTTGCAACTTTTCACTGTCCATGGCAATCCTTTACAGTGTATTTGCTAAGTGCTACTTGGTCCCAATGTAATTTCCCATTGGGAACCTACTGGCACTAAGTTGCTAACTGGTTAGCAAGATGCTTCCGACAAACCGGCCTCAACCAAACTTGCTTGCAAACCTTCCGCCACACAATCCCGCCCCCTTCATAATCGACCAATCACATTCACTTTATTCAATTGTGTAAAGTCTGGCACCACTTGGGAAAATTTGGAACTGCACCGTTGGAACAGCCACTTTCCTACGACTTTAATATATATGCATTGGAAAGTGTAATTTAAAGTGCTTGTTCTCAGAGAACTCTTCTCTAGAAAGAATAAAGGGAAGAAAGCTTGAGGAAGTACTTAGATTTCCTTTACAAACCACACACACAAATATATCTTATTAGGTGTATTAACAAATTGTACTGTACATTTTATACACAATGTTATTTTATCATTTGCTTCACAAACAACAGCATTATAAAAATAAAAGCACAGGTTACACCTTCTGAAACGGTTTATATTGTAATTTTAAGAAACCTGCGTGATACAGCATATCTCTCTCATTTACTTTCAAAAATGCGTAGACTAAAAAAAAAGGTATCATGCCGTGTATGAAAGGGAAAAAATAAAATACAGTTGAAACAAAAATGTCTAACATGCCCTAACATGGAATGATGGAATAAAACAAAACCACACAAGATACAAAATCAAACTACATTGGTGTTAAGATTGTTAAAAACACTACACTGCTTGGATTATTTTCTTAGCATAATGGTTCTGTAATGTTTGCGAGTGATTCATATTTCTGAAATCTATAAATGTCAAAACATCGGTAAAATATGAGTTACAGCAGGGCTTTAAATTTGTATTATGAATTGTAAAATTTGATTCCATGAATAGAAAAAATAATGAATGAGGCATGTAGGCTGAAAACCTGTTCAGTTATCATGTGTTATACAAATTTATAGGAAAAAATTGACGTGAGAAACTCATGCCTAGAAGCTGAGTGTAACGACAATACCAAGGTCCCCAAAAATGTCCATTGCACTGTTTTAAAATTGCTCCTCACAAGTATTAGGCCTGTGTGATAACTGCTCCATCTGTGCACCTGGACACCGGCCAGATTACTAGCTACATAATTTGGTTGTTTCATATTCAATTGAGTTTGGCTGCTTGGCACTGAAAGTCTGCAATGCTGCCTGGATTCTGGCAACATCTGTAGTTGATAGTTTGAGTCTGTGCCTCAGCAGACAAGAAAAGAGATCCAGAGGCTGAGATCCAGGTGGTGAAAGCCTGTTGACTCGATCCCGGATCTCTAGCAGCTGTAGCAAGGCTGAGTCTTGTGATCCCTGAGTATATGGGTAGTCTAACTGTAAAATTAAGTCCTGGATTGCTTCTGGGTCAAAGTGCATGCTGTAGCCATACATCTGGATGTTGTTGATCTTCATGTAGCCCAGGTTTTGGTCCGGTTCAAGGTATTCTATTGGTTCAAAATATACACTTCCATTTCCAGTGCCGGAGGGGCCCCTGATGCGGCTCCGTAGATAGAAGTGGACAGTCTCAAAGAATGTTTTCCATTTATTGCCTAAAGTCAAAGTCCAATTATAACAGTCATGGGGAAGGTCTAATTTTGTCCTTTCCCAGTCTGGGTAGTTGCTCTGGTCAATGGGCATGATCCAGCTCTCCGAGTGACTTCCCCCAAATGGATTGATGTACACAGAGAGTGTGGGGTCAAGTGTGGTGTTCTTGGTAAGGCAAATCTGCAGAGACATCCCCAGGAGCATGTGGACATGATTTGATTTGTATTTATTACTTTTTAGAGTCAGCAGCATCCTCTTTCTCCATGATGGGTCAAACCAGTTATTAAGCCTGACATCATTGCTGACAAAGATCCCATGAATGCTGATTCTGTTGTCTCTTTTCTGTAGCAGGTAACGCAGCTCTGTGTCCTCTAGGTCAGTTTCAAAGCCAATGTAATGGTCAGTGGAGTCTGGCACTTCGTTGCGGCACACACCCTGGCTCAGCATATAGCCCTGATTGCATGTGGCACAGCGGGAGCGATTTTCATAAGAGCAGGACGCACAGGAGGAACCTTCCCCTACAGTGCATGGAATAACACTCTGGCAGGGGGGATGTTCATAAGGGCAGGAACAGCTCCGTGTCTCCTCCATGTAGGAACCAAGGTGGTTGTTTTCACTGCAGTACATGATGGACAGGATGTAGTTGACCCAATACCCAAAGGGCCTGCAACAGAGCAAGAATAGTAGGTAAGGTTTAGAGTAGAAAATTATGTATCAGAGCTAAGCATTTTGATCAGAAACAAAATTAAGAGAAAATGTCCTCGCTTTCTTGTGCTGAGTAGTTGTTCTTAACCAATTCATTTGTTGTTTTCCTGTAATGAAAATGAAGTATTTGAACAAAATAACAGAAACCAGTTTCACATATATTTTTATCCCAGCAGAGTAATATTTCTAATCTTTCAAGGCATTATGTTATTATAAAAAAAAGAGATTCCCATCCTGTAAAATATACAATGCATTTATGTTGTCTATGATGATATAGGAATACTGACATTTACTTTGGCCGGATTTATCACTATTAAAGTGTTACGCACCAATTTCGGCAGGTGCCAAGCCCACATGGGCTTATAAAAAACTCATCAAACCAACAAGATAACAACAGGTTACATGCAACTGGAAATGTACAAAACTCAGATAGGATACAGCACACTCTGTCTTCTGTCAAACACCTTACTGACAAAAGCGACAAATGCAAACATTTGTCAACTGGTAACCATGTTTTCTATAGATGTCATATTTACATTGTTGTTTCAAGTTATAAAAAAATAGTTTTAGATTAGGTAGAATACATTGCATTTTATTCATATAGATATGATAGAGTTGCATATTGATGAGCATGCTCTAAATCAATTATACATATCCATGAAGTTCTTTGCAAAAAAAATTATAACATGATAATAATAAAAAAGGGGTTCCAGGATGTTGAACTAGTTACATGGAATAACTGAATCTACAGAAGGTCAGATGATATAGCATTATAGGAATGTATTTTTAGTAACAAAGAAAATATGAAAATACCAAGCATTAGTTCAAGTTAGCTCTTTATATCCTTATTTTGTAACCTGCGTAACCTGTTGAACAACAACCTTAGGCTGGAAAAAAACTGACACAACTGAAGGTCTGGTACCAAAGAGGAGCAGTATGTCACCTGTATGGAATTATTTTAAAAAAGAAGACGCTGCACAAAATCAGGTTTTTGCAGGACACGCCTTGCTTCTCTTGCTACCTCATGAGGTAACACGACAAACCTTTATCAAAACTAAAAGGAAACATCACAAAGCCATGTATTATAGTTGCATGGCTAGAATGCAAACTACCAGTGCCTCAGCGTCAAGTAAGCAAAGTACCAGCTGACAGGGAGCACTGACCGAACCGTTTGAAAGTGTAACTGTAACTGTTAATGAGGTAAAGTCAAATTTATTTCCTTTTAAAAAAATTATTTTATTTTCCTGAATTTTCAATTAAATTTAATTCAAACTGTGTTTTAAATAAATCTAATGAGTTTTATGAAACAGATTGATTTAGTGTTTTTATTTGTTTAAAAAGACATTTTAAATTAAACTGTAAAAATTGCATTAAATCGCAATCACATTAAGATTGAAACATTTCAATTAGATTATTTCAAAGACCGTTTAGCGCTAGTGCACAATGGAACACGGAACCTGCAGTGGGGTTTGAGGACTGGGCACGGTTAAGGCTGTGATTGACAGTGGCACACTGTCGCTTACGTGAAAACAAAAACACGAAGAGCAGAGCAATCCCAGTAATCATTTTGTGATGGAGTGTTCATGAGAAAGAGGAAATGGAAGAAGAGAGGAAGCTTCTATGGAGCAGGCCAGCAGCCACTGTTTCAGAGAATCTGTGTTACTACTCCGTTCTCCTTTATATGGGAGTTCTCATGGGAGCCATCCCTAAATATTCAAACCAAATGCTCTTGAAAAAACAAACAAAAAAAAACTTGTGTCTTTTGACCCATTGACACAAAATTGATGCTAAATGATGGTTTTAGACTAGAAAGAACATGTATTTTTGTTTTTTCTCTTTTTTCATTAATTGTAACAGTAACTTTTTTTTATAATTTTTTTTCTTCAAGCTTTTAAGTTATGCCAGTGACTGGCACAAAACTGATGTCATACTATTACACTAGACTGGTCAGATGATGTAGACCAGTTTTATCAATTTTTATTTATTTTCTATTTATATTAACATTATAATGGGGATAATTATGATATATTTTCATTTTTCATTATTACAAAATTATTTCATTTACTGTCATTGCTCATGCTAACTGTTGCTGCCCACAGTAGAGCTACTCTCATCAACTCAGCCATTGGAAGATAAAAGATAAAGTAACCTCCTTTTTAACCTACTGTAAGGAGGATACCAAACCGGCAGCTTCCGACACAAAAGCAGGATTGCAACAACTATGTGAGAAATTGTTAAAATAATGCCTGGTAGACAAGACAAGACACCCATTTAAGTAATGCCCCTGACCCACTTCCAGTTGTCTGATCTAGATGAAATTTTGCATGTGTAATTATTTACATCTCTATGGGTTATGTTGCAAAAAAAGGTCTGAACTAATTGTGGTTTCTGATTTAAAGGTGTTTGAACTGAGTCAGGTATGAAATGGAGCCAGTTGAGTGTCGCGCAGTGATCCGGTTTTTGTATTTGAAAGGACGCACACCAAAGGAGACTTTTGAAATGAAAGAAATTTATGGTGATGATGCCCCATCATATGACCTTGTAAAACGCTGGCATTGTGAATTCAAACATGGCTGGAAGTCTGTGGAAACAGCTCCCAGACCTGGTCATCCCTCTTCTGCCATTGATGAGGCATCTGTCCTTCATGTTGAGGCAGCCATTTTGGAAGATCAAGGGATTATTGTTCACCAAATAGACAGAGAGGTCAAGATTAGTACAGGGTCTGTGGAAACTATCATTCATGACCATTTGCATATGCATAAGGTGTCTGCCAGATGGATTCCCAAGTGGCTCACAGCTTTCCAGAAGCAAGAATGCGTTGAGTGCTCGAGGAGATGTGCAAAGAAGATGAGTCAGTTTTTCAAAAGACTGATTACACAGGATAGAACTTTGGTTTATCACTATGGTCCAGAGACCAAAGTCCAGTCAATGCAGTGGAAGCCCTTTGACTCACCACCTCCAAAGAAGGCTAGGGTCCAGCCCTCCGCTGGCAAGGTCATGTTCACAGTCTTCTGGGACCAGGACGGAGTAGTGATGACAGATTTCCTGGCAAAGGGTACCACAATTACAGGAGCCTATTACGCTTCACTTTTGATGAAATTAAGAAAAGCTATAAAAATCAAGAGGCGGATAGAGATCAGCAAAGGCATCCTCCTCCTGCAGGATAACACTCAGGTCCACAACTTGCATGTTGCCAGATCAGAAGCATTGGAGTGTGGCTATGAAATCATCCCCCTTACTCTCCTGACCTTGCACCCTCTGACTTTCGTCTCTTCCCAGCCATGAAGTTGTTTTTGAAAGGAAAGCGTTTCCCAGATGATGCAGCCTTGATTTCTGAAGGTGTGTTCTACAAAAATGTTGTTTAAGGGTCTTGTTTGGTTCAAAATGTACTAGGATTTTGTGTTTGGAGAAAATCCTCTTGAGTTTTTCAGAGACTCCAGCAACATATGGGATGGCAATGTTTTTGCATTTAATCTTCTTACCGTCATATTCTGCTGCGCGTCTTTTGGATTTCATTGCTGATTTGACAAACGCCCAGTTTGGGTTTCCACAGGTTTGAAGAGAATCTTTTATGTGTTTCTGTTCTTTGTGCTTCCCTTCTGTTTTAGTATGGACATGCTTGGCCCGGAGTTGTAAGGTTCTAATCAAGTTTCATCTTCTACTATGTTTCTTATGACTTATAATATGCAGCTTATCTTTTATAAAAGCTGTTTCGGGCACTTCTAAAAACGTTAAGTTTCACTTTCTACATACCTACTTTATACTTTTGATCTACTTTGTTTACACTTACTTAACTTCTTAAAAAAAAAAAATGCGTTTTTAAAGCTTCACTCCGAGTAAATTTCACATCTTTCAGTGTCACATATTTAATGTGGTGTTAAAAAAACAACTCAGTTAACAGGATATGAGATGTTTTTGGGAGGGGTTGTTCCATATCAGAGACATGCCAGTCAACTTTTCTTTTATAATAGATGAAGAACTATTAAAATTATATTCAGATTACATGAAAATACATGAATTAATTCTGCATGTAAACAAGTAATAACTTTAGGGTTAGGATTAGGATAAATTCAGTAATAACAACCGACTGAGCCTACTGATAGGTAGGAGGCACTATCTGAAGCTATTCTATGGGACTAATAATTCCTAATAAAGTGGCTGTTTAACAGCCCCCCAAAATGATTTAGGGGTAAGTAGTCCTTTTTTCTAGGTAAAATGTTCCACATACTTCCAAAAACGATCTAATTTGAAAAAGTTAAGTCCCACCACCACAATAAATGTATGTATGTGTAAAGAAACAAGATGTATGACAGAGCAAGAAAAAACACTGCCAGCTTTGCAGAGAAGTAATGGAAAAAAAATTGTGAGTGTATGCTAAGAAGCAAAAAAGCTAATATAGAAAAGAATAGGAGTGATTTATCCTCATAAAACTGCAAAGTATGCAACAGCTCTATATTTCAGACTTTTATGCCTAAGGCTAAAACTTAACCAAATAAATATGGACTGAAAAACTCTGTCTAAGCAAAACATTTAAAAATCAACCAAAGCTACAAGGAGAAAAGTATAGACTTCTAACATTTATGGTCTGAATGATGAGAAAATTGGTCTCTTATATATGATGGAGCAAAAAAAAATATATATATATATTTGTTTTGTTTTTTCTTTTTTTACTGCAATATAAAAATAAGAGCTTATACTGATTGGGACCAAATGTTGGATGATATGAAGATGGATTATCTTAACACTATGTTTTCACTGATGTATACATTTATATTTTATGCTCAGTAAAATTGTATATATCATGCAAACTTTGATTTTACAAAGGGATAGTTTATATTGTTGTGAAGATTATATGGATAGGAATCAGATGGGATGTCACACTGTAACTTATTTCACCAGGGCTAAGCTTAATGTCAAAGAATACATTTATTGTGTGTCCAAGTTATAGGATGACTATTCCTCCTGGTAACAAAGCACTGCAGAATGAGGATAGTACAAGGAGAGCTGCTTTCACAAAAATATACCAACCTATACATCAATCTTTATTCAAAAAAAAGTTAATCATAAAAAGACCCAGTTCCTCACCTTTCCCGCAGCATAATAATTTTGGGCTGAGTTTGACATCTCTTGCTGAGGGTGAATATCTTGTTGATGATGCGCCGAGCTTTGTTTATAAGCTGCTGTGTGCTAATCTCCAGCTGTTTGTAGCGTTGGAGAACGGATGGCTCCATCTTCCAGAAATAATGGATAGCAGACACGTTCAGGGCGTAGGATGTGGGAAGCCTTCGTACAAAGGCTTGAAACTCCTCTGGAAAGTAAAAGGAATGTAAAATGTTAAACATTAACTTGTCCTGTCACACTCAGGCTAAGATGTCTACTTTTTAGTATTGTTTCCATCATATTTAGCTAGTTCAATCAATGATAATGAGAACATTTCTATTAAAGTACAATGAGATCCAAATGATGATGGGTTAAGTCAAAACAATATTAACAGTCAAGAAGTTTTTTCATGCCCTGGGTACAAATTAGTCTGGAAGACAAGAAAGATGGACAAGCAGATCAGAGGATAATATGTGACAGCAATTCAGAGCAACAATTTTATGAATGCATCGTAAAGAGGTATAGTACGTAGATTTCGAGGCATTCCATAACAACATCACCATTGTCATCATGATGACTGGATGTACTGAAAATTAAACTTGTTCAAGACTGATTAGAAAATAACAGTGGTACCATTTTTAATTACTTCAGGTTATTGTGATGATGAAGCATCTGATTAGAAAACCAATTAGGTGTCAATAGCATCCCCAATGATTGTGGAAGGTGTGCTTTGTTTGCTGTGAAATTAACACATTGATTGAACAAGGTTGTAAAGAAATATAGCCCATGTATAAATCAGTATTTGGGTGCATATAAATGGTAAATGGACTGAATTAATTAGTGTTTCCCTAGTTATGCTCCTGTGCTTCAGTAGGGGGTGGGGCACAACTGGCTTGAAAAAAAAAAAAGGTCAGCTCTTCCGGCAGATTCAAACTTTGCTGCACTCCTTATTAGGAATCTCTGAAAATATGGCTCTGTGTCTAAAGTTTAGAATTATGGCATCTTGGATCACTTTTAAAACAAACATCTTGTTGAATTTAGATATGTGTTGAGCATAATAAGACAATATTTTTTGTATTGTGCTGTCGGGGATTGGGAGAAGAAAGAGGAATATAAATTATGTCCTTCAGTACAAGTTGGCATACTAGCTGAAAAAACATGTCTTCAATAAACCATGTTACTCTCAGTAAGAGATCAATGCAAATCACATCTACCATGAGCTGACAGTAGAAAACTCATTTAATAATCAAAGATATGATTGTAAGTCTTCTTTGTAAGGGTATATGTTCTTCACTAGATATAATCAAATGTGCAACTAGATCCACAGGGGGTTGATGCTGATTTTTGACACATCAACAGCTTTTGGTGCTTATAAATGTGCTGATCCAGTCTACTCATTGAACATGTACCAGTGGCAATGTCTCAACCACCAAAGTGCACTGAAAGCAACTCAAGGCAAACCTGGAAATGACGGTGATACTCAGATGTGATGTGCTCGTGAATGTGGCTAAGTTTCAAAATGACAAATAAATGGAGAGTTACATATAATATATATATATGCACTAAAATAAACAATGAAATGAAACACAAGACAGTTTGACAGATCAAAACTTTAAGTTAAATTAGGAATGCTCATCTGAAATCATTTGATGTGCTCTTTTTTGTCATGTTTATTAAGAAACATAAAATAAGGCTAACAGATAACATGGCAACAACTGAGCCGTGAAGTATTATATTAGAGGTTACATCATTTGCTCCTAAAGGATTACAGCAACTGTAGTTCATTTCTAGGGCATGACAAATTCTCCTCGGGCTACTGAGGGGCTTTTATTTAAATAATTCACTCTATCAGGTCAAATCATTTGATATATGTTATGTTTTCTTGACCAGATTAGCAAAATACAAACACAGAGGCAAATATGCCACCATGAGATAGCTGTATGGATGTTTAGAATTAGGGTGATTTGTTTCAAAAATGTCTTACTTTCCTATCCTGTTTAGACTGAATCAGTTATCCCATAGATATCTCAGGCTTCATAGACCATGTTGCACTGCTGTAGGATTAACAAATAATGCTACATGAAATTGAGTATTAGATCTATAGAATTTCATAATTATTTGTTCTTTACGTTGATAGGTTTTTGTTCTGCCCTTTACAGAACTATGTTTTGAGATCCAGCAAATTTAAGAAAATGGAAAGGCCTTTTGTAAGCATTTCACAAAATAAAATTGGTATGCATTCATAAGAAACGTGTTTTGCTATGAAATGTGACATGTGTATATATATATATATATATATATATATATATATA